ACGTGACACTATAACGATTTAATTTAATTTAATTTAATTTAATTTAATAATTTAATTTATATACCGCCCTTCTCCCGTAGGACTCAGGGCGGTGCACAGCATATTAAAACAGACAAACAAAATACATCAAAGAACAAAAAANTTGAGGGCGCGGCGGAAAGTAAGGAGATCCGGAATCATCCGGATCTCGGGGGGTAGTTCGTTCCAGAGGGTGGGGGCACCCACAGAGAAGGCCCTCCCCCTGGGGGTCGCCAGCCTACACTGCTTGGCCGACGGCACCCTGAGGAGGCCCGCTCTGTGGGAGCGTACCGGTCTATGGGAGGGAATCTGTGGCAGAAGGCAAACCCTAATTTGAAACAAACATACTTTAGTGATCCAGTTGGATGCAACATTATTCCATATGTATAGCTACATTATTCCGTATGTATGTACCTCTGAGAAGGAAAGAACATATTTTTTTTTGTGAAATTGCTAATGGGACACATATTAATGAAGAGTGCAAGTGCAGGGCTGTTGCAACCCTTTGTGTAAATTGTGCACTGCCGGGGGCACCATATGAAGGAGGATGCCAGCAGCAAAGTAAAAATGGAAATGTTTATGATGGTGGTTCTGTGCACTTCGGCACAGCTAGAATATTTTTAAAAAATTATGCACAAGGATAGCTTGCATGCCAGCAGCACCCCTATGTATGGAATTGCTTGCTTTCACTCCCTTGCATGTTGTATAGAAAGCAGCTAAAAGCAAATTGAATAACTCCATTCTATATTGATACATAAAAAAAGGAATATTCACAAAGTCTAAGAAAAATTCAGGTGAAAGATCTACTGCATGAAAATTATCACCTTTGAAGCAGACATTAAAAAAACACCCCAGAATATTTAATATGAAAATAGTACCACAGCAATAAACTAGTTATTTTCTATTACAAATCAAGCATAATTGTTTTTGGCCAAATTATGGATCATGTATTCAATATGGTTTATTCGTATTATCACTTTTTTACTAGATTTATGTTTAAAGAAGCATCATATGTTTATACCAGGAGTTAATTTTCAAGTTTTGTGACCTTTGTTGCAGCTACCTGGTCTTGACACTTTAAGCCAATGCAATAAAAGAATGCCAGAAACCATGCAGTCTAATGCAAACAACCACACCTTTGGGAAACAGTTCAGAACTGAATGAATAAACAAAAGCATATATTACTCACTCAGTCAAAATTGGTAACGTCCATGGAAATTAAACTTTCAAACTGAATAGTAATCATAAACTGTTCCCCAAGATTATCTTTCTTTTAAAGTTCTGTTGACAAGTACAGTCAATCTTTATTTGAATGCATGCTTTTGTACTTAAGCAATCAGTATAAAGAGTTACTGAAATGAATTAGGAATTATTATTTTTTTGTCTGAGCAGGCCCTATTGGTTGGCATTCTGAAGTTAGCAACTGTACAAACTATGATTTCTAGTTTAACATGCAGAATCAGCAATCAAAGTACAGGCCTACTTTTATTGGCTTCTCAAACATTTTGCCAGCTCTACATTTAAATCTTCAAAATGTTTTCTAAAGACTCTGAATCATAATGAGAATTCCATTTACTAAGAAGGTGCAGCTTTCATATAACAACTGAATATGTTTAATGACTGATCCTTTTATACATTACAGCATCACTCGTGTTTTCAGTAAATGGATACAATTTTCTCTGCTTTACCCTATTATTATTATTTGTTAGCCTCACCAAGCTACAGTACCAATTGCAGAGATTTCTTCCCAGCAATTATCTCACAAAAGCAGTTAGGTTTGAAAGCCCTCTGCTTCAGCATATCAAGCTAAAAAACAACCAGTGCATTCCAGAAAAGAAATGTTGGAGAAAATATAAAAAATGAAGCTACTTGAAAAAGTCAGCCATAGAAAACTCAAAGGGCTAATCCCAATGTGATAAAATGAGTTTCATTAACAGGAAGCATGAATACTGTAGCCTAGCTATCTAGTTTCATAACTTACATTTGTAGCTATATTTTCCCTTTTCCCCCCTTTTTGTCATATATGCAGTTCCAGTTTCTGTAGCCTGAGATAAAAGTGATAAATTCAACAACAAAATGTTTTTTAATTGAGACAGAAGCAGTACAGGTAGCCCTCAACTATTCATTTAGTGACTTCTCACCATTTTTTTACAGTTACAACCATTGGAACATCCCCACGGTGATGTAATCAAAATGCAGATGCTTGGTAACTGGTTCATATTTATGACGGCTGCAGTGTCCCAGGGTCATGTGATCACCTTTTGCAACCTTCTGACAAGCAAAGTCAATGGAGAAGCCAGATTCACTTAATAACGGTGTTACTAATTTAACAACGCAATGATTTGTTTAATACATGTGGCAAGAAAGGTCATAAAATAGGGCAAAACTCACTTAACAAATGTCTCACTTAACAACATAAATTTTGGGCTCAGTTGTGACTGCTAAGTCGAGGACTGCCTGTACCTTCAAGTCAACCATGTAACCTGGTGACTATACAAACAAATTCCATATAGTTTCTTGGCAACATTTTCAGAATTGGTTTGCCACTTCCTTCTTCCTAGGCTGTGAGAATATGGCTGGCCCAAATCCCATACATTGATTACTATATCAAATTGGGTTTCTACTATCACTGCACATACTGAACATAAAATATTTGTTACTTGAATATCAGTGACTTGATTTTGTCACTGATTTTAGGAGAAAATTTCTTCTTAATATGGGGTAGGCTGTCAAAGTTGATTTTATATTATCTACTATACATTGGGTGGGTTGTATACCTGCTTGTCTACCACATGGAACCACAGTGGCCTAGTTTGTATATAACAGGGGTCTTCAAACTTGGCCCTTTTATGACTTGTGGACTTCAACTCCCAGAATTCCTCAGCCAGCGTGCCTAGTTGAGGAATTCTGGGAGTTGAAGTTCACAAGTCACAAAAGGGCCAAGTTTGAAGACCCCTGGTATAATAACATTATGTAGTAATGTCTGGGTTTGCATATCCTCCAGATCCAATATAAGAATTGTTATTATAATTTAGTTGTATGTGTAAACTTGTTCAAGAGAATACATAATGGTTATAAAAAGAAATTCTACTGAATGTTAGAAAAAAGCTTTGTAACAATAGAAAAGCTTCAACATTGGAACTAATACCTCAAAATATGGTAGACTTCATTGAATGTGATCAAGCAGAATTTAGATAGACATCTATCATGCATACTTTATTTGGATTTGCACACTGAGAAGATGGTTTGTCTTGACAGCCTAAATGATTCATTTATTAAACACATTCATACTGCTCCAAATCAACCACAGACATAATTTACAGTAATAAAAATATTACACATAAGGTAAAAAAGCATTAAAAATAAAATAGCCACAAGAAAGGCCAGATTATATTTTAAATGAATTGATTCAATTCCAACCGAACCATTAATTCCAAATATAAAATAAACAAGAATAACTTAAACACTACTTTGTAAACTATTCAAATGTCACCTTTGTCAAAACATACACAGCAGCCCAATGATTTATCAAAGAGGAAACCTATATTTTTAATTGCATTTCTTTCACATACATACACAGACACGAAATAATATAAATAATATAAAATACAAGGGTAATAACTGGGCATTGTCCTAGTTAGATGAGACTGATTGAAACAAGCTGATTACTAAAATAAGCCCCATTTATCCAATTATTTTTTTTCTAAATCTGAATCCAGGCCCAAGATTGTGTATATGTATTTGGAAACAGGATCCATAGAAATCAAAGATAACATATCTAAGTCAACATATTTAAGATAAGTTGCCAATCTGCCATTATATACATTTTCATCCTCATACCTTTGGAATGACTCAGATGAGTCTATAATAATAAAACAAAATTTATTCATTTATTTGTAAAATTTATTGGCTGCCTATCTTACCACAGGGTAATTCTGGGCAGCTTAAAATCTTAAAAAGATAAAAATATATAAAATCTAAAAGACATAAATAAAATACTGTAAAGATCCAATTACTGAGCCCCAATTAAAAGAAGGGGAGGAAGGGAGTAAATTGAGAAGGGGGGAGGTGGAATCTGTTATTAATGTATCAACCACCCATGTGGAACCCCTCCATTAGAGGCCCAAGCCAACTGGCAGAGCCAGATCTTTAAGCTCTTGTGGGAGGGTTGGGGCTAACCTCCCTCAGGGGGGACAAGATGTTCCAAAGGGCAGGAGCGATGGAAGAGAAGGCTCTTCTCCTGGATCCCGCCAGCCGAAATATACTGGCCAATGGGGCCTGCAGCATGCCTCCTCTGCCAGCATGGGTGGGGCGAGGCAATCCCAGTGGGATGAGATGATCCCTCAAATGCATACTAAATTCTTGTTGAGACCTTCAGAATAATGAATGTAAACAAACTGATTGCAGAATGTTCTCTATTTGAAGACAAACAACATTAATATATGAAATTTAGTGTTAACAAATATGTTAAGTCAGAATTTTGAATAAATTTGATCTCCAGAAGTTGTTCCAGAGTATGCAGCAATAGGTATACAGCCCTCATCTGCAATATCTTAAAGCAGCTTTTATGTTTTCCAACGATCAGGCGGTTGCTATGGTCTCCGTTAGAAAGATGCTATGTTTATGGTCTAAAACACTTTTGGAGGTGAGAAGCACTGAACAACTCAATTCAACTGTCCAGATTTGATATTTTTAGGTATCAACATATTTTAACTACCAGCCTTTTATTATGTAGTCTGGCTAGTAACCTTTGCCGCATAGATACACATTCTAAAATGTGGAAATGGTGAATATGCTACATTAATCTGCAATAATTCTATCAGCCTCATACTGTACATGCTGAACTCCTCAAATAAAATTGTACTGAAGAGAAGTGACAAAAAAAAATCAAGTGACTTGACAAACAAAGGCTCTACAAATAGAGGGTCTGAATATTTTTTAAAGCTAATATTTGATTTTAAAACTATAAAAAAACTTCATACCTCTTCCACTTCTACCGACAAATCTTAGATCGTTGAATCTTGCTACTTGATTCTTCATGGCAGCAGTAGCATTTCTGAGTTCTGCAGAGTAGTTTTCATCATTTCCAGCCATAACTGTGACCAAAGTCCCATCAGGGACATCTCCTAATGCGACCACCTAAAAAAGTAAATGAAAAAATACTGAGTTTGTTTTGAATCATTTGGGCGTATAAACTGTTAAAAAATGAAAAATGAATTGGGATTGGAACCACTTTGTACAAAATAAATAACTATAGATGCAGGAGCATTCAACTAAGCAAAATCCATTTAGGACCAAGTGAAATGTGATTTAAATTATGGCTAACACTTCACGATTATATTTACAAATACATTAAGCTAATTTCAAATAGCTCATTTCATACTTATTAAGTTATAATTGGTGGGTCTGCACATCACACAAAGCCAAAAACAAATCACATAAATGCTTAGTATAGCGTGGGAGCCCAGCCACAGATTTCATTGACACTCTAGACTGACTAAAATTCATTATACTACATAAATTCATTATACTACATAAATAAATATTATTTATTAAAAATAAACAGCAAATGCATATGCTAATTTAGCAGAATGGAAAACAGTACAGTAATCCCAAACTGTTAAGATTCTGCAATGATAAAAAGGATCTCACACATACACTAACTTCAATGAGACCAACAAAAAAAAATCTACGCCAACAGTTGTGTGCAAATGCTGCATATAAATGGCTGGAGAATGTACAAAACCAGCAAGACAGGAACTATTCAAATTACTCAACGCTGCATCCTGAAAGGACTTGGAGCTACAACCAATGTATTCATATTATTGTTTTATGATTATTGTTTTATGATATAGCTCAAGAAAGAAGCATCCTTATTGTGTAGTCTCCATTTATATAAATTAATTTAAACCAATTGTTTCAAATAAATAAATAAATAAATATCCTTAATATGTAATTACTGAGTTGGAGCCACATCTGAAGTACATATAGAGTAAAATCCCTTATTTTCAATTAGTTTTTTCTAAGCAAGATGAAGCCCACACCCATATAAATGAAATTGGCTTTAAACATTGCCAAATGCAAAGAAGATAACACTACTGTATTTTTCCTTTTGTTTCCTGACTAATAATGAAAGGAACTTCCAAATGTTTCCAGGCAAGATCATAAATTAAAATCAGAACTGCCACTTCACCACAATCAGACACTCACTTTATTTCCCATACACTTTTTGTCACTATATTTGGATCTTCTGAAACAGCTCTGCAAATTATGACCCATTTCCAAACTAAATAAAGGCTAGGTGCTCACACAGTACTATCATTTAATGTTTTGTTTGCTTTTGCCTAAGCATGATATACAGTTATACCGATATACAGTTCCAATCATCATGGTTTAGTGTTGTGAATACTCTAAGACATCCACTAAACCATGGTTTAAAAATCCTAATTTGACTTTGAGAATGTTTAGACTGTTGAAAGCACATTACCCTATTCTACAAGGCAAGAAGAATAACAACTTTAAAGATTTTTACTATTAACAATGTAGTACATGTATCACATCAAAACTGCAGTGAGTTGTCATAAGGAAATTGTCAAACCTGCTTACATAAGATGTTTGCTTACAGAACGTGTTACTGAAAAAAGTTTTATCAAATTGTAGCGCTGATGGCTTCACTCTGTATTTCCTTTAGATGTGATAGAGAAAGTTTGCATTTTCATTTATGTTTGATTATAATCTTATGTATAACTTGCTATAACAATAACCATCTTATTATGAATGTAATTTACATAACCACTTTCTTTGTAATTTATCCTATAAGGTGTCCAGCCATCTGCCCTCCCATTATGCTGACCGTTAGTTTTTCTTCAGAGTGTTTTCTATTATCTCATTGTTACTTCTGAGAGTTTAACTTTATTACAGTTGTACATAAGCATTAAGTGCTACTAGTTCAGCTTATTCACTTTTTCCCATTTATATTTCTCCTGAATTATGACCAATTGCACTGAACTGAAGTTCATTAAAAATCGATGTAATTTAGTGCAACATGAATTATTAGAATCAAGACATTGGAAATCACAAAACACAAAGACCTGCAAATAGAAGTGGCAAAAGAAACCAAAGTTAGCCCCAGTAGTAATAGGCACCTTGGGTGCAATCTGAAAACATCTATAGCACTACTTGAACACCATTGGTACTGATAAAATCACCATCAGTCAATGGAATAGCTTACATCCTGTGCCATAGCTTTAATATTATTGAATAACAACATCTGCCTATCCCAGGTTCTTGGGAAGGACTGAATAGGTGGACAAAAATGCCAAATGCAATCTAAACATCTGGTTGACTGGGGGACCAACCATAATTTACTAAATGTAGATGACTCCTACTGATTCAGGGCAGTTTTAGAAATACTTCTCTTCCTGCATCAATTGAAAGCCACAATATATTTTTTCACATTCACCTGGTACTACTCTTTTGTCTCCCTTTTTAACCTATTGAGGGTAATAAAATATTCATGTAAAATTAAAAAAGCAGAGGAAAATAATGGCAGACAAATTGCAAGACAAACTCAAAATTGTTCACTACTATACAGCTTCCATCATTTGCAATCAGAATGACCATTCTGGTTGGGAGAAATAAGAAGTACTATTCAGGATTGAAGGCTATCTAAAGATATTGTAATCCTTCTGTCAACTCTGCCTGAATGTACTGTGTAAGCTTTGTCATTCTAAGGTTAAATGTACAGAAAGGGGGGAAAACGCATACTACCTACAACTTAATTCATTATCTAAAGTTTTCTTTGCCTCATCAACCTCATACAATAAATGTTAAATATTCAAAATCTTCCAAGTGATCCAAGTATGCAAGAAAATCTATAAGCTGCACAGAGTTTCTGGGAGTCAGGCAGTATAGATATTTAATTAATTTTATTATTACTATTATTGGATTTGGAGCTTTTCTTGTTGAAGCTTTTGGCCATTTCTAGCATAAAGAATTCAAGGTACATCAGACAACATAACATTGGGTTTTTCAGCACTCCTCAAGTTGCAATGTTTTATATTTTCAGTGGTGAAAAACAGTTAAACTAAGAAAATTCAACACAATATTTACAGTAATTGGAAAATATTCTAGAAAATATTAATTCTGTGCATATCTCTTAATATGCGTGTTATAGGTCTAAAAAAATCTCAAACACATTTTTCTGCCTTAAAAGCACTGAGCATATTTGTTAAACTCACCATGTTTATTACATGGTAAAAAAAATTATAGTAAGGCCTTAGCAAAAACAATAAGAAAAGATCTGTAGGCCCAGGATAATATGACTGGTAATTAAAGCCTGTAAAAGAGTCAAAGAACACAAATATTTACATTATAAAACAGACTAAACAGATAAGCTAGAACTTACTGACTGGAGACAGCATTTGAACTGTTGAGTTTATAAAAATGGTTTTTATGCAAACTGGATGGAATATCAGCTATTTAAAGCAACCATACTATTAAAACCTACTAATTGGAATATTAAGTTCTCCCTTTAAGACATTTGAAGCAAGTTTGTGAGATACAGCTTTACTGTTATCAAATCAAGTAAATAATAATCTTGCCAGAAAATGTTTAACAGTAATTCCAATTAAAAGCAGAACTAATTGAATTTTTGATTTTGAAAGAAAATGTCTACAAATAGGTTGTGAATTTATTTTAGAAGAT